ATATGATTACCTGATAATTAAATATGATTACCTGATAATTAAATATGATTACCTGATAATTAAGTATGATTACCTGATAATTGAATATGACTACCTGATAATTAAGTATGATTACCTGATAATTAAGTATGATTACCTGATAATTAAATATGATTACCTGATAATTAAATATGATTACCTGATAATTAAGTATGATTACCTGATAATTGAATATGATTACCTGATAATTAAGTATGATTACCTGATAATTAAGTATGATTACCTGATAATTAAGTATGATTACCTGATAATTAAGTATGATTACCTGATAATTAAGTATGATTACCTGATAATTAAATATGATTACCTGATAATTAAGTATGATTACCTGATAATTCCTTCACGGATTGAGATCGGGTAAAAACCTGTGTGGAAAAACAAAAAACGTTTTAATTTTAGCTTACGATTAATCCTGTAATTATACAGACCAAAATGAAATGCGTTTTATAAAAAAATATTATTTTTATGTTTATATTATTATAGTCATATGCAGATTTGTAATTACCAATACATGCCTATTATTAAATGTTGTTATAAGACACCTAACATCTAACTTTTATCTGGACGAATAAAACGTTAAACACGCAAAATGAAATTTATCCAAGATACAAAACTAGGAGTTAAAACTAGATGTTAAAAATGACTTTCAACCGGTACATTTACGATATAATTAGCATCTCAGAACTACAAACACTTGTAGGAAGATATTTTCATTAAAACTGCACAAACAAAACAGCGTACTATCTGATTACCTTTTAAAATACCCCTTAAACGTGTCAAATGTTATGATATTATACTCTATAGCAATATATACCCAAACATCGCATGTTTAACTGTATCAATTTATCATCTGGACTTTGTTTGTTTGTCAGTTGCATTTCGCGCAAAACTGCACGAGGACTATTTGCGCTAGCTGTCCATAATTTTGAGTTAATAAGCTAGAGAGAAGACAGCTAGTAAGCACCCCTCACCAGCAACTCTTGGGCTACTCGAATTTAAGAGTGATATTTGACCGTTACTCTTATTACAAACCCACGGTCCCTAAGCGCTGAACGCAATTTTTTTCAGTTAACTGGACTCGAACCACAGAACTTCAGCTCCACAGATCAGCATCTTGAACACTGTACCACATCTATCATCTAGAAATATATTGAATTTGATTCAATCCACTCCTTCAAGAGCAATATTTGTTATTTTGTATCCTGAACGTCACCTTATTGGACACATGGACTAAAAGGTCAGGCCAGAGTCCCGACAGGTATAATAATGCCTAATTAAGACCTCCTGACCAGACGAAAGGCACCCATTCAGCAGCACCTGCCACCTACAAGGAACTGAATCACGGAACTGACTGTAACGTGAGAAAAATGCAAAGCGTGTTCAGTAGTATATTGCAGCTCGAGCTTTAGACTTTCTGATATAAAGCCTATCACTCTAACCATAAATCACACCCAGCCCAATTCAAGAGCGAGTTTTCTTTATAATCAGGTTTCGAAGATGTGGGTTTATTGACCCAAAGCTTATTGGAGAAAATAAAATCTATAAAGAGCTGTTAATACATGTTCCCTTGACTTACTGTTTTCGAATTATACTGTTTTTTGTTGTTGTTTTTACTTGATCGGATTTTGCAAGGAGTTTAAAATACAATATTATAAGAAAAGTTCCAATAGAACAAATGGCAAAACGGAAATAAAGTGTGTGAAAAAAACTAAAAAACAAACATAAATTAACGACTTTTATGATTCTCGTACTCTAATACATTTTGTATAAGTTTATGTACATCCTTATAATTCTAGCGTTATATTATCCTATCAGTAACACATAGGCATACGGTAACTCAATGAACAATTATTGACTGGTTACGAAGGCAAACAGACTATTTGTTGCCCGAAGGAATGAGAGTGGCCAGCTTCTGTTTTCCCGAGGCCAAATTCAAATAACTTTTGCCCTAAATTACCTGTCAATAATTGTTTTATTCCACTCGCTTCTGTTTTCAGTTGTATTAAAATCTAATTAATAAGCACTGTCACATAGTATATTTAGCTTACATCCCCGGACCAACATGTAAATCTTTGTGTAACATTTCACTGTAGATTTTGATCTCATTTTAAAACCCAATAAAGTCGATAGATTGTTTAATTTTCAAAATATAGCAGCACATCATTATGTGATTATACCAATAAACTTATAAAGTACGCAGCTGCCTATAGAATATACGCGAGAATTTCTGACATTGTTTGTGAATTAGGACCAAGTGAATCAGCCAAAATCACCAAAAAAATGGATGTGTGCAGGATGCAGTAACATAGGCGAGTTACTTCGTGCAATGATTGTATTAACTTTTAGAGGAAGACGCTGTTGTATCACATTTTATTCAAACGGTTAGCGTTAGGTAATCAGTCCCTATACTATTTAAAGTAATGTTTTGTGTAAAAAGATAAGGAGGAAGAACAACTACAACACTTAAACATCATTTATATGACACACATATTGATATCTAAATATAATTGTGTATGATTTGTTTGTTTGTTTTGAATTTCGCGCAAAGCTACACGAGGGCTATCTGCGCTAGCCGTCCCTAATTTAGCAGTGTAAGACTAGAGGGAAGGCAGCTAGTCATCACCACACACCGCCAACTCTTGGGCTACTCTTTTACCAACGAATAGTGGGACTGACCGTCACGTTATAACGCCCTGACGGTTGAAAGGGCGAGCATGTTTGATGGGACGGGGATTGCGACGCGCAGATTGCGAGTCGAGCTCCCTAACCACCTGGCCATGCTGGCCAACTGTAGATGAGTAGAACTTACTTTATCATTTAGGTGGAAATATACATCCCTTTAGGGAAGAGTTATCATCCAAATTCATATCTGTAGTCCGAACATTTTGGTCTTGCTTAAGAAACAGTTAGTTGGAAGAATTAACACGAAACTCAGAATTGTGCTTGTTTGTTGTTATATGCAAAGCTTCACGCTGCGTTATCTGCGCTATTCTTACTGCAGGAACCTAGCACAGATTTTTAGCTTTGTAAGCCCTTAAATTTACCTTTGAGCCACCAGTGGTCAGAAAAACTCGTGAGAAGAAAGTCCACTGGTAATTACAATGCAATATAATTCATATAAAAATATCGCATAAACAGGTAATGTATACAGGATATTTTCGTTACATAACAGCAGCTTTAATGATCAAACAATTTCCAATTAAAAGTCCCGCCTATTCTTTCAAACATTGAGTTTATTGTAAATACAGCCATCTCAAACTTAAGAATTAAACTCTTTATCCATGATAATTCACGGCATGTATAAGTATATATATATGTTTACAGAAAGCTTAATAAATCATTAAAATATTGTAATATTACTCTCACTGTTAATAACCGAGCTTCAAATAGCAGCAACAACTTAGAGGCTTTTATCATATTTCTAATACTACATGTTCAGATGTTAATAAGGGGCTAGTTTCACCTAAATATAGAGGTGTCGAAATGTGCGAGAAAAATAACGTTAATTGAATTAGCACAGTCACAAGGCTAATGTCAACAAAACAAATCCAGAAACAACCAAACAGTTCAAATGTACAACAAAAGAAAAAATCCAATCATAGTAAATCTACAAACAAACACACTTGAAACCGATCCAAATCCCATCTTCGAAGTCATTAAAAATACATTCATAGATTTTATACAACAGTATAGAATCCCCCCCCCAAAAAAAAATACAGATAGCTTCACAATCTTTTTAGGAATAGCCAAACAACACTGTATACCTGTTATTGAACACACCATACACTTATTATTGAGCCCAAATACCAGACAACCATGTAATCAAACATCAAAACCCAAGTAAAAATAAAAATCCCCCATTCCAGAGCCCCACCTACAGCGGCCATAGCATAACATTCATGGGCATGGCATTGAAATAGAAAATAGAAAAAAAAAAAAAAAAAAAA